GGATGTGGATGATAAACTTAAGGAAGTTATAGTTATTGGTGATTCCTTGACAAGGCAGGATCGAATAGTCTGTGGAGTAACTAATGAGAAAATAATTAGCTTATGCTACCCAGTGGCACAGGTGGAGGATATAACTGATAGAACAAGAGATATAATAAAGGGGGCTAGCAATAATGCATTTGTTGTTGTACAAGTAGGGTCTAATGATGTAGGGAAATGTAGGTCAGAGGAGCTAATTGATAAATAGGGGTAGATAGGCTTTTAAAGAAAAAGGCCATAACTTAATTTTGTCAGGAATACTGCCGAGAATTAACTGTGGGGATGAAGTTATAAGTAGGTCACTAGAGCTAAATGCTAGGCTTAGGTTAGTATGTGAGGATGAGCAGATTGGCTGGTTGGACTAGAGGGGGGGTTAGTTCAGTGGAATAAGAGAGCTTTTTGGAATGGATGGTTTACATTTAAATAGAGTAGAGGCTGGCTTGTTTGTTAGGGCTATTAACTCAGCTGTAAGGAACGTTTTAAACTAGGACTAGAATTCGGTGAGGGCCAGGAAAACTAAATGCAAAAAGAATAAGAAGCGGAGAAAAGTTTAGCATAGGAAATGAGTATAGAAGTAGTTATAAGGATAGGCTTAATTTTTATTATTGTAATGTTAGAAGTATAAGAAATAAAATAGATGACTTTAGAGCACTGGTAGGAATGGAGGATTTTGATATAATGGGAATAACTGAAACATGGTTAAACGTACATGATTTTGATGACAGAAATTTCTTTGAAATATAGGGTTACAGGCTACTTAATAGGGAAAGAACATTAAAGAGGGAAAGGAGTGGTTTTATATGTAAAATGTGAGTTACATCCTGTTGAAATTGAGGATATCAAAGATAACAGCACAGAGATTGAATCCATTTAGGTTTCTATTAGTGGATATAAAGGGAAAAGGCTTTTAGTGGGAATTTGTTATAGACCACCAAATGATACTGATGAAATTAGTGAGAAACTTTACAATGAGATTACGATTTCAGCTGTTAATGAAGTCATAATTATGGGTGGTTTTAATCTCAGACATATAGATTGGGAAATGTTAGAGTCAAACCATGAGGGAGAAGGGTTTTTGGAAACTGTTCAGGATGGCTTTCTTCATCAATTGGTTAAGGAACTTACAAGAAACAATGCTGTTTTAGATTTATTGTTAACTTCTAATATAGAAATGGTTAAGAGGGTGGAAATTGGGGAACATCTGGGTGCAAGTGATCATTGCTCTACTAGGTTCAAATGTTTTGCTGCATATGGAGATAAGGAATAATGATATTTTGGTTAAAAATTTCAAAAATAAATTTTGACGGGATGTGACAAGAATTATCTGTTGTGAATTGGGAAGCTGAGTAATTTGGAGACACTGAACAGATGTGGAAAAATTTTAATTATTCAAGGTGGGGCAGTAAATTTAAGTGAGTTTAAGAGAATGCTTGATAGATACATGAATGACAAGGGCTTTGAGTTTATTTAGTTATTTAATAGTTTATTTTAGTTCAGAGGATGATAGAGCCTAGATGGACCAATAGGAACCTTAGCACTTATGTATAATGTTAAAGTAATAAATAACACACAACATAAAAAATGCACAATTAAAAACATTTTGACTTCAGGGCAATCTATGGCCTCCAAAAGGTTTATTCTACATCTTTCGACGTTTTAACGTCATCATCAGGAGTGAAATTGCAAGACAAAATACTGTCTTATTTATACCTTTAAACTAGGTCATGTGACCTCTGTGTCGGTTTATTTTTCTGCATAATTCTAAGAGGAGGTCCCACCACATTCTTACACACATATTCGCCGGACCTTTGTTTTTATCTAATAATTTATTATCTGTTTTAAATTTATCATATACACGGATTTCATTGGCTCTAATAACATTTGGTTGAGCCAATATTATTGTTTTTTCAGTCTATGGCCGAATTTCACAATAGCGCAATAACAGAGTTCACATGTTATTATTTATTGTTATTTGAATAGCATACAATCATGTATACAGATTACCTGTGAAATTGAGAAAAATAATAGTTTGCTTTTGCTAGATGTATCGGTAAAAAGAAATGAACAAAGGAAGCTTAAAAACATCTATTTATCAGAAACTCTTCCCCATTGTTATGCTACCATACCAAGAATCACGTCATACTAGATCACAAAAAATATCTGTGTTTTACACTTATGTTCACAGAATTTTAAACTACGTACAAAACAATAGGATTTAAAATGACTTGTTACTAATGGAAGAGGATTTCAAAATGACGTGTTACTAATGAAAGAGGATTTCAAAATGACGAGTTACTAATGAAAGAGGATTTAACCCGAATATCCTAGATAGAGCACTAATGTATTAATAATGGATCAAAATATTACTTTAAAACCCACTTATCATTACATTAAAAAAGGGATGTTTAGTGTTGTCATATGTTTCAGGTTTAACTTCTAGTTTATCCAAAGTGTTTAAAAACAACAAATATTTTACTATACATTTAAATCGATGAAACAAATTTTGGGTAATACTAAAGATGGTACACAATTAATGGAATAAGCTGGAATTTATAAAATTGAATGTGAATGTGAAAGTTTCTATATTAGACAGACAAAACGTAATTTAAAAAATATAGTTTCACAGAACATAAGGAATGTGTAAGAAATACAAATATAGAAAATTCGACCACAGCAAAACAAGTACAAAAACTCAACATAAGATATTATGGGGAAAAACGGTAATATTGGCTCAACCAAAGGGTATTACAGCCAGTATCAACTGTGAATATAATAAAGTTTAAAAGAGATAATGAATTAATAATAGAGACCTTCTTTAAGAATTATCCAGAAATAGTATACAAACACACAGGTCACATGATTTAGCTAAGAAGAAAATAAATATGACACAAGTTCAGATGGTAAACATCGAATGTTGTAGAGTCAATATTTTGGAGGACCTGAAATAAAAATATTTTTAACTGTGTATCAATTTTAATGTTGTGTATTATTTATCATTTTAGCTAAGGATGAATGTTAACCTGGTTCTAGATAGAACTAACTCAGTTGTAACATTATATCGCTGAGGATGAATGTTAACTTGGCTATAGATAGAACTAACTTGGCTGTGAAATTATATTGCTGAGGATGAATGTTAACTTGGCTATAGATAGAACTAACTTGGCTGTGACATTATGTCGCTGAGGATGAATGACAACCTGGTTCTAGATAGAACTAACTTGGTTGTGAAATTATATTGCTGAGGATGAATGTCAACCTGGTTCTAGATAGAACTAACTTGGTTGTGAAATTATATCGCTGAGGATGAATGACAACCTGGTTCTAGATAGAACTAACTTTCTTGTGACTCTATATCGCTGAGGATGAATGTTAACCTGGCTATAGATAGAACTAACTGGGTTGTGACATTATATCACCGAGAATGAATGTCAACCTGGTTCTAGATAGATCTAACTTGCTTGTGACTCTATATCGCTGAGGATGAATGTTAACTTGGCTATAGATAGAACTAACTGAGTTGTGACATTATATCGCTGAGGATGAATGTTAACTTGGCTATAGATAGATCTAACTTGCTTGTGACTCTATATCGCTGAGGATGAATGTTAACTTGGTTATAGATGGAACTAACTTGGTTGTAACATTATATCGCTGAGGATGAATGTCAACCAGGTTCTAGATAGATCTAACTTGCTTGTGACTCTATATCGCTGAGGATGAATGTTAACTTGGTTGTAGATGGAACTAACTTGGTTGTAACATTTTATCGCTGAGGATGAATTTTAACTTGGTTATAGATAGAACTAACTTGGTTTGAACATTATATCGCTGAGGATGAATGTCAATCTGGACCTAGATATAATTATCTTGCTTGTGACACTATATCGCTGAGGATGAATGTCAACTTGCCTATAGGTAGAACTAACTTGGTTGTGACATTATATCGCTGAGGATGAATGATAACTTGGTTATAGATGGAACTAACTTGGTTGTAACATGATATCGCCGAGAATGAATGTCAATCTGGATCTAGATAGATCAAACTTGCTTGTGATTCTATATCGTTGAGGATGACTGTTATCTTGGCTATAGATAGAACTAACTGGGTTGTGACATTATATCACTGAGGATTAATGTCAACTTGGTTCTAGATAGATCTAACTTGCTTGTGACATTATATCGCTGAAGATGAATGTCAACCTCGTTCTAGATAGAACTAACTTGGTTGTGAAATTATACTGCTGAGGATGAATGTCAATTATATGTCTGTCTTGGTGGATAAAACCATTTCAAAGAAAGTGTAATAACCTTTGAAATGCTCTATATGTAAAGCCGTGTTTATATTGACAGTTATATTGAAGGTTGTTGGTCAAATTTTAAATAAATTGCAAAAAAAAAAGAGTGTATTAACACCAATGAACTTTTCCAAACCGAGAGGCCACTGACTTGGAAACTTACAGTACAAAAAAGAGCTTAGAAAAGATATTATTTTGATCAACATAAAAAGGAGGTAAAAATCGAAAACTGTATGTTTGAGTTGGTGAAAGAAGTTACTTGGATATCGTAAAAAGATGTCGTGATTAGCAAGTACTTTTTTACGACTGTAAATAGCAAGCTAGTAATTATAGCAGCAGGCTGTATCTTAAGGAACTGTTTGGTGTTAACTGTATTGAGACAGCTAGGTGGCGATAAGCTTTTACTTATCTCGTTTCTATTTTCTCAAATTCTCTTTTAATACACATCATGTTTCTGTCATTTCTGTTTGTAACTTACACATTTGATTTATATGAAGTTCAGTTTTTAGTGTATTTTTCAATATTGTCATGCATATTTCGATGACAGATATATGTTATTTAAACTGTGCAAATGAATTATATTTTAATCACTTTGCTGGCGAAAGTTTTGTGTTAGACTACAAATAAAAATGGAAATGATAATTATGTTTTACATTACTTTTTCAGGTTGTATGTGACTTTTTCAAGGGCCACTTTTGGAAAAAAAGAATTTGCGCGGGAATTTATCATCACGATTATTTTATGGTTTGTAGCTATTGAAAATCACGTAAGATCGTTTAAACGAAGGGTTTTCCAGTCTCATCCAAGCCTAATTACGTACGTAGTTCTTCGTTTCAGACTACTATGGCCACGTATCTATGTAATAGTTCTGGTTCGCCGATAGATGGCAGCCCTAACTGCCAGGGTGACAACCACGAAGCAAGAAAACTTACACCGGGAGAGTCGACGTCGGAGTCAGGCACCCCTAAGAAACAAAATCTGACATTTTCAATTGCAAAAATCATGGAATCTGAACCTGAAAGACGTAAATGTGTTAAGCCTAATGTGTATTTAGAGGAAGTGTTTGATAATTTTAAGCACCATCTTGGTAATCCAGTGTTTACTAACAGTGCTACTCCATGTAATCCAACGAGTCCTTTAACGAATACTCTGTTTTCCACAGGAACATTAAATGTATCTCCTTATTCATTTTTTATTAGTCCTTTTGGACCTCGATATCCAGAAGTGCGATACGGTCCAGATGTGAAAGGATTGTCTCCAGGCGCCACATTAGACTCTACTTGTGAAAGTTCTTTTAAGAAACTGGGATCTACCATTGGTTTAAGAGACGTCCCTTATTTATCCCCTCGTGCAGTTGAGAGCAACTCTAGGTTTCCCCAAATGAGAGCTCAAGACCTACTACGTCAATATGGCATTTTATACTCACTCTATCCTTCCCAATCGGTAGCACATATCATGAACATGCGCAGTTTCGGATTTAGGCCTGATCATGAGCGATCTCTATCTCTGTGGAGGAATTCACCCCAATCTCAGGACGATGCCTTTTTTCAGGTTATTCGACCACAACCTGTGATCCCTTCAACGGGCTGCAACATGACTACACGCCCGTCAAGGGGTCAAGAAAAACAGCAACAGGCAACTTTTCTGACGAATTCCGAAGATAACGTTCCAATGGTTTCCTCTATTAAAAGTCCACGAAATTCTGAAAACACTGTATCTAACTCTAACAGTAGTGGTTTTCAGACAACAGTTTCCTCGCGAGGAAGAAGAATCACGAACAAGCAGAAAACATTTACTTGTACAGAATGTGGGAAAATATTTAATGCTCATTACAACTTAACTCGTCACATGCCCGTACACACAGGAGCCAGACCTTTTGTGTGTAAGGTGTGTGGGAAGGGATTCCGTCAAGCTAGCACTTTGTGTCGCCACAAGATCATTCATACAGAGGAGAAACCGCATAAGTGTCACACTTGTGGAAAGGCCTTCAACCGGAGCTCCACCCTAAACACGCACATTAGGATCCATGCTGGTTATAAACCATATGTGTGCGAGTTCTGTGGCAAGGGTTTCCATCAGAAGGGTAACTACAAGAACCACAAGTTAACGCACAGTGGCAACAAGGCCTACAAGTGTTCCGTGTGTAACAAGGCATTCCACCAGGTCTACAATCTTACCTTTCACATGCACACACATAACGATAAGAAACCCTACACGTGCAAAGTCTGCGGCAAGGGATTCTGCCGAAACTTCGACTTGAAAAAACACATGCGGAAATTACACGAAAACATCAATTCAACGACAGCTGCCACCAGTGGCTCTACCGTTGTTAATGCTGTCGCTAGTAGCGCCCCCTCCGTGAACGAGAATTTTGTTAACCCTTTTTTTGTCCCACCGAGTACTAATAGTTACATAGAACAGCTATCGGGAATTATCTAATATACAAATTAGTGATTGATTTATTAACAATTTGACCTTTAAAAAGAGCGCAAAAAATGTATCCCAGTTTAATAATTTTTAAATGATGCAGGTGATTAACTGAATAGGGTTTTGTTAGCGATTAAATATTACAAATATTGAACCAAGGACAAGTAAAAAACAATTGTATATAAGTAATACGTACTTGAAACTTTTTATTTAATAATTTTGATGCAGAAAGCTCGTATATATTATGTTAAGAAGCTGCAGATGTGTGTTTTATTTGTATTAGAGATATATTTATTTTGAATTGAAAAATAATTATGTGGACTCTATTTTGAAGTATACATTTATTATCAGTTTGTTTTAAAGCTACGTCATTCTCAGTAAAAACTTGATGTTCATTGTATTGTATAGATAAATTGTAAAGCCATTTCATTACACATTTAATTAATTCTTAAGATATTATACAGAATATACGCAAACAGATATAGACCATACAAACAGATATGGAACGCACAAACAGATATATATATAGATCATACGAACAGATACGAACACATATAGAACACGCGAACATTTACAGATCACACGAAGAAATATAGAACATACGAACAGATATAGAACACATTCTTTGTAATTGTGCACAAAGCTACACAATGGGCTATCTGTGCTCTGCCCACCACGGGTATCGAATCCCGATTTCTAGCATTGTAAGTCCGCAGACATACCGCTGTGCCACTGGGGTGCATAGAACATATGAACAGATATAAGACACTGGAGAAAAGTGATACTTTAGATATGAACATCTTTAAACTTGGAAGTTTGTTTTCTTGTAGCGTATTTCAGTTAACACTTGTAAGCCTGTTGAAAATGGTGGATAACGAAATTGTGCAATGTTTAAGCACCTAAGATTTATGGTCTGAAATATACATTGTAGATTTTCGTTACCGTTTGAATCAATTTCATCCAGAACTTTATATTTACTTATTTTAAAACTGAAACCAGAGCTGAATGTTTTTCTAGCCATGGGATTGTGTAATGCAGCCATGTGATTGTGTAATGCATCCATGTGATTGTGTAACGCAGCCATGCGATTGTGTAACGCAGCCGTGTTGTTGTGTAATGCACCCAAGTGGTTTTGTAATGCAGCCATGTTGATTGTGTAACGCAGCCGTATGGTTGTGTAACGCAGCCATGTTTATTGTGTAATGCAACCATGTTTATTGTGTAATGCAACCATGTGATTATGTAACGCAGCAATGTGATTATTTAACGCAGCCATGTGACTGTTTAACGCCCAATTTTCGTAGCTTCAGAACGTCTTTAGAAGTACAGAAATGGCGCCTAATTTGCTTTTGCAACCACCAGGTTTTGTGGTTTCAATATTTGATATAAAGTTTGCTTTTATTGATGACACTACTGAATATAGAACTATTAAGCCTGAATTTAACCCCTGTTCTGAACTGACGTAACGCTTGATTCAGAATGAAAAGACGGCGTTTTCCTTTTGGTGGATGTAAATATACACGAATTAAGGTAATATATATTAATCTTGGTAAAATGATGTTCATCCTGCCTACTGTTTAGAAAAATTAGTTCTTTACACTCCTTATTGCGTGAATTGTTGGTAAAACTGGATTAGTTGTTCATATTCTACTTTAAAGTGCAAAGAAATTTAATTTTGGGAAGCGTTTATACCTTTCAGGAACGCTTGTCCGTTCCAATACATCAGAATCGAGAACCCTATATTTTTAAGAACAGAATACGAAAGAAGATGCTGGTGTAATTTTCTTTTCGTTGATAATATTACTTTTTTGTTCTCACTATAACTATTTTAAGATGTGATTGTTTTAAAAGCTACGATCAGAAACATACTCAATAAAGTTGGCTGTAGGGGAAAACCGCTGATAAGAACTTCAATGTGTGGAACTTTAAATAACTGACTGAACCTAAATTAAGACTAACGAGTTTGCTAAATCACTGTGCAGATTTGTGGTGCTAACTGATTACAACATCTGTAACTGTAGCAAAATATTGTTTATAAATATATACCTATACATATAAACGTACTTAATCCCGAAAAGAACAAGCCTTGGGAATGGCTTCTTAACATAAAGTATCGTGCATACTTACAACTATCTAATTCAGTGTATACAAAGAAATGTGAAGAACGTTAATACGTGATTGGCTAACCACTTCCTTTCTAAGACGTAGAGTTTTTATGCTTCGTTTTCACTGATCTTATATCAAGAGAACTGCGTGTTTTTAAAGTAGAACAATAACAGGTGGTGGTTAGGCATTCCAGACTAGCTTACTCTATGCGTGATTTGTTTTTCTCTAAAATGTAAAGATACAATGCTGTCAACTGTTGAGTAAAAAAAAAGATACACAAATAAAATTCTTCATGATATCCATAATCCGAACAAATGCCAATTTGTGATTGTTTTTTGTTTTTTTTTTGATAAATTGTTTAACGAACAATGAAATATATTGACTACTTTTTAAAGATTAGGTGAAATATATTCTTCTAAGTTATTGGATCAATATATAAATTTTCACTTTCAACGATGATTGTCTATTCATTGTTAAGTACAAAGCTACACAATAGGCCATCCGTACTCTGCCCACGGCGGGTATCCAAACCCGAATTTTAGCTTCAACGATATCCCGTCATGATTTTTAAACGTCTACTACTTTCATTTTGAAAGCTAGCATATTTTCACCTCTTGCAAAAGTTTAACAGTTCGTTCATTAGTAAATTCAAACAATTACGTTTTCATCTTGTTTTTTTTCCTTTGAACAGAAACCATTGTTAACTGCTGCTGATATGTATTGAAAGCAATGAGTCTTTTGAAATATCGTATAGCATAAGGAACTATTAGATGTATAAAGTTTACACACAATCGTCCTTTATATCGTCTTCGAATTATTTTATAATTAAAATGTGACTGAATGTTTAATTACATCCACTAGATGGGTGAAACATTAACTGACTGACCGTTTTGTCCCCCGATATGTCAGCGGTAAGTTACGACTTATAACACTAAAATCTGAGGTTCGATTCTCCGCGATGGACAGAATGCAGACAGTCCAATGTGTAGCTTTGGTAAAACAAGAACAGCAACAACTGGCCGTCCTCTAAAAGCACAAAATGGGTGCCCTAATGTGACTGTTTGTTTAATTACATCCACTAAGGGGGGGGGGGGATAAAACACTGCTTTACAGATCGTCCTCTGAAAGCACAAAATGGGTGCCCTAATGCCTTTGGTGCCGTCGCAAATATTCGTTTGACTCGAGTTTGTTTATTTTTTTATTTCGTTAATAAGCTTATAAAACAGGAAGTTTGAATAATACGTTAAAATAACTCATTAAGTTTCCATTCAGAATACCAGTATTGGTTCTGACTTGTAAAATATAGTGCTTTTATTGTTATATTACATATATTGTTAGAATGAGTGTAGTACAACTTAACTTGAAAGTGGATCTTGGGAAAAAAAGAATAAAGCACGACATTAGCTTTAAGTTGTTTGTTACGAATTAACGAAAAACTGGTTTGTTTATTTGTATTAAATCAACAAAATGGAGATATTATGTTTATATCTGGTTTTTGGTGCAGTCGAATAACCTGATTCTTTTTTAAGGTTTTGATGTAACTTTGTTTAAAGGAGGGACGTCATTTGTCATCCATTTATTTTCTTGGTAAATTATTGATACGGTTAATACGTTAGAATACTTAAAATAATACAGAAATATCAGAACTGTTATATTGGCTGTTACTTTCGTACTTCTCAACTTGTTACACCAACGAACTTCTGTAACTTACGACATGCAGTCTGGATTGATTATCTGTTTGGCACCTTTGATTTTTAAAATACATGATAAACACACACCAAATCTGTTGGAAACGTTTTTCAATAGCGCACAGCGCCTTACGAAGACAAAAACAAAAAAAAGATATAGTAATTCTGATATATTTTTTTGTATATCAAACAGAAATATGTGTTTTAAGGAAACGAGTTGTGTCTTTAAAAAACAAAAACTACTTTAATTATATGTTCAGCTGTTGTTACTCGACGAACGTAATTTATGTACTTGTAGTATTACACTGAGTATAATAAAGTATACGTACATTATCTGTTGTTTGTTTGATTTTTTATTCTCGAAACTTATTGATTGACTGAAATTTTCCGGAAGTAATCACGATGCGACAGGCACATTCTACCATCTAAAATGCAGACAGCCTTACAGATAGGAGTGCTAAGAATGTTACGTGAACAGTAGTTTACAGATAGGAGTGTTAAGAATGTTACATGAACAGTAGCTTACATATAGGAATGCTAAGAATGTTACGTGAACAGTAGTTTACATATAGGAGTGTTAAGAATGTTACGTGAACAGTAGTTTACAGATAGGAATGCTAAGAATGTTACATGAACAGTAGCTTACAGATAGGAGTGTTAAGAATGTTACGTGAACAGTAGTTTACATATAAGAGTGTTAAGAATGTTATGTACAGTAGTTTACAGATAGGAGTGTTAAGAATGTTACGTGAACAATAGTTTACAGATAGAAGTGTTGGAGGATGTTAATGATTTTACCGTGCTCAATTCTACAGCTCTATCAATAATAAAATACATAAAACTCAACAAAGTAGCTTACATATAGGAGTGTTAAGAATGTTACGTGAACAGTAGATAGGAGTGTTAAGAATGTTACGTGGACGCTGTAAGCTACTGTTCACGTAACATTTTTCAACACTCCTACATGTAAGCTACTGTCCACAAAATACATTGTTGCTTTCTGACAAATTTCAATGATAAAATCGTGATGAGTTGAACTTTCGTTTATTTTGACTCTGTCATACCATTAAGTACGGTAATACTTAATAGTAGGAATCCATAAAAACCGATCGTTTAAAACCTTTAAAATGTCTGAATATTAACAATAACTATCTCTGAGTATTGGCTGAAAAAACTGAAGTTTACTGTAGTTATAAAACCGCCTAATTCGCTATAGACGTGTTTATAGAGGAATCAGAATTTCACTATTTCAACGAAT